GTTTGTCTCCCCTGTTTTCCCACGTGCGGCTGTGCATCCCGCACGTACGGCCATGGGCCCCGCACGGGCGGTCGTATGCTCTACTTGCGCAGTCTGAAATTCATCAAAAAATCCAACTTTTCAAAGGCATCTCAAGGCTCAATTACAAGCAAAATTCCTTTCAATAACACAACATAAGAACATAATAAACATGATTCTCAAACTTAAATAGATCATAACTCCTTTTTAGCAAAGCATGTACAACTCAAACAATCATATTTCTTCAAATTCCTCATCTTCTCATGGGTAAGCAAAATAGATACAAACATGTATATATATGTAGGAGTTCAAAATATGCAAGGATTAAAGATTAGAAGATAAGTCCTCTAAAGCTAACACAACGTACTCTTAAAATACAAGAATCAACTCTCAATTAGATCAAAATAATGAATCTTGATTATTTTTTTATTATGGATTCTTCCCCAAACAAGTGATTATTCTCATAACCCTAAGTTAGACATACCTTGAACCCCACTTTTTGAATCTCATTTTAATCTCCTCAATCTTCAAGCTTTGGTTGATCTTCTCTCCTTCTTTCTTTTTCCTTTCTCTAGAACTCTCTCCCAGGAGATATGTTTTGTGTGACTAAGTCTCCTAGGGCTCAAATATGAGTCTAAATAAGTCTAATTAGAATTGAGCTTAAATAATTCCGATTGATTCGTTACGAATCAAATTTTTATGAAAATTTATATTATATCCTAAAAATCATGTTGATCAAAACTGTAAAGTCAATTTCGGATTATCGTGCTCCTAAGATTTCCAATTTCTAGTTCAAGTGTCTCAATTTCAACAGATTTTTCTCACAACCGACGGATATGATTCCGTAATCATAGAATTCACATAATTAAACACAATTTCACATGGAATTTCACATCAAGCATATAATTACACATATAATTAAAGACTTAAAACATATAAGAAGGTCGGGTTATTACACTCTCCCCCCCTTAAATAAGTTTGGTCCCTTAAACTTGTTTTATCTTAAGTTGGAAATAATTCCGAATACCGTTGTTTCATTTCCTCTTCTCTTTCCCAAGTAGCTTCCTTTCCGTAGTGTTCTTGCTATTCTACTTTCACCATTAGGATTACTTTGTTCCGTAGTTGCTTCACCTGTCGATCTAAGATTTGAATTGGTCTTTCTTCATAGATCAAGTTGTCATGCAAAGCAATCTGATGGTAGTCTATGACATGGGATGGATCTTGTAGGTAACTTCATAACATAGACACATGAAACATGTTATGCACTTGTTCCATACTTGGCGGAAGAGCAACATGATAGGCTACCGGACCCACTCTTTTCAAAATTTGAAATGGACCAACATATTGGGGTGCTAACTTACCCTTCTTGCCGAATCTTGTGTCCTTTCATCGGGGTGACTTTCACAAACACATAATTACCCACTTCAAATTCTAAATCCCTGCATCGTTGATCTGCATAGCCTTTTGTCTGCTTTGGGCGGTTTCCAACCTTTCTTGAATGGTTTTAATTTTCTCTGTCGTCAATTGTACAATCTCAAGCCCAAACAACGATCTATCACCGACTTCAGTCCAGCACACGGGAGAGCGATATTTTCTTCCATATAAAGCTTCGTAGGGTGCCATTCTTATACTTGAGTGGTGGCTATTATTCTATGTGAACTCCGCCAACGGTAGATAAGTTTCCTAACTTCCTTGGAAGTCTAAAGCACACATCCGAAGCATATCTTCCAATGTTTGTATGGTTCTCTCAGACTGACCATCCGTTTGAGGGTGGAAGGCTGTACTGAATTTCAACTCCGTTCCCATAGCATCCTGTAAACTCTGCCAAAATCTTGACATAAGTTTCGGATCTCTATTGGACACAATTGACACCAGCACACCATGTAGCCGCCACTATAACAAAAAAGGTCTTTGGCGACGAAAACACATGACGAAAAAAAATTCGTCTCCGAACATGCATGTTTTAGAGATAAAAGTAAGATTTTGTCTCCAATTGCAGTACTTTTAGAGAGAAATCCAAATTTCGTCACCAAATGCTTAAAATCAATAAAACAATAGGTGACGAAAATTTTATTCGTCTCTATATTTTATTTTTCGTCGCAAAAAAATTTCCCGCCCTTGGAAAATTTCACCAGATATTTGAGCACCATTTTAGAGATGAAAATTTTCGTCACCATTGTACAAAATTTTCTGCAAGGAAATAATTTCATCTCCTATAGTTTTATTATGCAAAACGACGCCGTTTCATGCTATAAGTGACAAGCCCTCTTTGTTTGCCCAAATCAATTCCTATTTTGCGAAGCCCTTTTTGGGTTAGACATGAGTACTTGTTTAAATGGATTTTTCTACCATCATTGCTACCACTCCAACACCACCACCATCTCTGCTGCCACGGATCCATTATCACAACCGCTACTGCTACCACCACCTCTCCTCCATTTCCATCGCCACAACCGCCACTACTCCACAACCACTGTCGCCACTACTCCGCTACCATTGTCACTCCACCACTACTATCACTACTACCACCACCTATCTTCCACTACCGCCATCACCACTCTACCACTACCACCACTAACTCTCTTCCACCACCACTGCCACCGTCACCACTTTACCACCACCACCATCACCTGTACACCACCACCGCTACTACTTCACCACCACCATTACCACCACTGCCGCAACTCCACCACCGCCCCTGGCCCCGCCACTGCATCACTACCACTACCACATCACCTCTCCACTACTTCTACCACCACCACTAGTACCACTGCCCCACTACTACTATTACCACCGCCGCCGCTACCATTTCTCTTCCACCACCACTGCCTTACTCTACCACTACTATTGCCGCCACACCACTTCCACCACCGGCGCTCCACTACCACCACCACTAGCACTCCACCTCCACCGAACCCATTTAAACCCTTTATTAAATAAGTGAGTTTGAATTGATTTCATTTAGTTTCAGTTTTCGAAAACTATTTTTCAAGTTTCAATTCTTATTTTTTTAATTTTTAGTGAACTTTTTTAATATTTTAATTATTTTTTTAATTGATTAAAATATTGAAAAATTTCACAAAAACTTTTTAAAAAAAAAACTAATTAGAAACTCAAAAAAATAATTTTCAAAAATTGAAACAAATTTTTAATACAAAACCTATTTGGACTGATTCAGACCTGCTTGTTTGCCACGTCTACAACAACAAAAAAACAAAAAAAAAACCAACAAATTATTCCCAAATTTTTCCTCATTTTTCTTCTTCTCAGTCGCGTTCATCTCTCTCTCTTAGTCGTTTTGTATTTTTTTCCCCTTTGATTTTCAGCCTTTTTTCTCTCTCTCATTTGTTGCATAACCCTAACCCAACCCGTCTTTAAGAGAGACGTGGAGACGAAATGACGTGGAGATGAAGGCGATGTGACTCCGACAGACAACTCCGGCAGCTAGGCGAGGGGAGGCGACAGCGAGGCAAGGGAAGGTGGCGACCGACGAGGTCCCTTTCGTCTTCATTTTGATTTGTTACTTATATATATATAGATATGATTTCTTGCCATGGTTTGATTTGTTGTTGATTTGTTAAATAGGTTTGATAAGTTCTTTGATTAATTAATTTTTATGGGTTTGATGATTTAGGGTTTGTTGTGGATTTTTTTCAATCATCATTCTCATTTATTCCTATTATATATATATATATGATTTTCTGGGGAAAAATTGTTGTTGATTTTTTAGATTTGTTGTTGATTTTGGACATGGATTTGATAAGTGGAAAAGAAGAATGAAATGGTTTTGATGATGTTTATTCTATCAAATATCTAAGTTTGTTCATAGCCTAGTTTAATAAACTAATTCCTTGAAAGATCTAATTAATTAAGTTTATTCTATCAACCAGCTGATGTTTTATGGGTTTGATGATTTAGTGTGTGTGTTTTTTTTTTTCCTCGAAATAACTAAGTTGGTGTTGAAATGTTACAATGTGGTTGGTTTAAATGTGGGTTTTTGAATTTTTGTATTAAAGCTCACTTTTTAGAATCATTAGCATTAATACAAATGCAGAATTCCTTTCAAGCTACTACATAGTTTATGAGTAAGCTGGTTGTGTTCCATGTTTTGTGTAATGATTTTTGTTTTTTGGCCTGCTTCAAAAAAATTTAACTTGCATAATGTGCTTCATATGAATTTCTAATGTTATTTAAAAGAGAGATAGAGCATTTAGTGCAAACAGAGCTAATGGAATTAATTGTGATTTGATTTGATTTGATTTGAAAATGTTTTTTGATTTGTATGCTTTATTGTTCCCTAGTTGAATTCTCTTAAATATGGAATTAATTGTTTCCCTTCATGTGGAGAAATTGGAAATGGAATATGGGATTCTTGGTTTATGCCCCTATTGGAACAGGTGAATCTCACATTCTAGTGCAAACAGAGCTTGCCATCTGTTATGCTGTAATAACGAATTTTATCGGCAATTTAACACTTTTCTTGTGGCACTTTGTAGACTACAATTGCTTGTGAGAAGGTGGTAAAGCTGCTTGGTAATTTGTTTGCCTCCTTGAAATGGCATATGACGTTTAACTTTATTTTTTTCATCAGTTAGTGCCTTCTTTAACTTACAAGTGAAGGAAATGGATGAACTTAGTGAAGGTTACAACATAGTTGGACTTTCTCAGGTGAAATAGAAGTCGTTGTGAATGTTTTTTTTCTCATGTCGTAGTTTATATTTGATCATGAGCATTTAGTAGCTAGCTGTTCTCCCTAAGCTATGCTAAAGTCCTTATTTTGTTTGCTTACTGTGTTTCTTTATGTGCCTGAGTGTTTTGGGAATTATATATCAGAATCTTTGCAAGAAACTAAGTTGATTACCTTATCTTTGCTACAATTCATTGCTTTCTTCTGGCACCCCTTATTTTCCTGGCGTAGAACTGACTTATGGTCGGCATATGAAACTTAATTTTGTGGCCTGTTATTTTTCTTGTTTGAGACAGGTGAAGAATTTCATATCATTGGTAGGTCCTCATGCTGGCACAGCTTCTATTCCATTTTGTGGAGTAAGTGATCCTTATTACACTTGTTGTTTTTGATCTTGATGCTTTATAACTTTTATTTTTTAATTTGGACTAGTATAAAAGGCTAAACAACTTTATTTAGAAGGTGACATTAAAAAGATAAAACTTTAGAAAGTCATGTGTTATAGAGTAAACCTTAACTAGAAATAGAAAATTAGCCCTAATCTTTTGATTAAAAAGATAAACTTTAGAAAGTCATGTGACGGAAAAGTAGTATTCTAACCATTAAACTCAATGTATTAGTACACAAAATGTATAAAATACCCTTTTTCTTTGAGTTTAATAACAAAAATATATATATATATTTTCTATTGGTCTTACTTAACAAAAATAAGCCAATGGTTTAGATTGAAAATATAATTTGTTAAGGATGGAACCAACATCAAAAGAAGAACAAAAACTCAGGCTTTTTAATGGTGAAATTTCTTGACTTGGGCATGCTAACCGGTTCCCAAAATTCTTGGTCGACAACCCCTATGCCTTTAAAAGGCTGGAATCTTTGCTTTTTATGTGCACCCTTCAAGAGGAGGTTTCAATGATTAAAGATTCCCTCACAACCTTATAGGTAACAAATTGTACCTTTGGAATGCACATTTTGTTTGTTTGTGAGTCGCTTTGCTTATAGCATTTCTCATCAAAATTTTTGTGGGGTATATATATGAATATATTGACTATGAGTATGTCTAGACTCTAGAGCAATATAGTTCAATCCTTGACCCGCATAAGGAGAATAGATACATTCTCTTGAGGTGTATCCAAAGTTCAATTTGGAATTGGAAAATTGGACTGCAATTAAAATTTCCTTTTTTCCCCCTTAGTTTTTGGCCTTATATCATATGTATGTTGAGTGTGACAGATCCAAGACTTGATTAAGCTGCCTAATTAGGTGTAATGAACATGTACTCTTCCAATGCAATGATACTGAAATTTGAACTAATGTTGCATTTACTTGAAAAATCGTACAACTTTGGTTAGTCAACAGAGGACCTTGGGCAATGCCCTTGCTGGAGTGGGCCTGTGCTCCATTGCAAGTGAGCTTTATAATTATGACTTTGGTTAATTTAAAATTGTAACCAAACTTTTTTTAAGCAAATAAGTACCTAACTACTATTAGTATTATTTTGGATCTTCAGTTTCTATTATGTAATATTGATATAAATCATGGAGTACAACACACCATACACTATCATATTCTAGCAACATCTGATGTAATATTCATTTGAAATATCAGTTACACTCTTCAATCTTCTTCTCATTCTCTCTCTTAGATCTCTTCCTCTCTTTGTTTTCCATTCATTTTAACTCGGATCGCCTCTTTGATGGTTCAAAATGATTCGTCTCTCTCTATATATATATATAACAATGCACAATTCATCTCTTTCAGCTATTTTTTTTTCTTGATTAACGTTCGATTTGCTTTTGAATTGCCATAGTTTTCTTTCTCTCTCTATTGGAAGAGTACAATCTATCTAGAATTACACTACATGTAAATTTTAAAGGTGAGTGCCATAAAATCTATTTGGAATTACACTGCAGGTAAATTTTATAGTACCACTTAAATGTTCCTTGGCTGGCAAAATCAATGTCTAGAATGTAAGCATCTCACCATCATCTCCTCTGGCTCCTTAAAATCAATTTGCTTGTTTGTAATTTTTGCTGTAATGGGAAAAAGAATTGTAGAATAAGGTAGGCAATGTTGCAGCCATTGACTATGAATATCAGAGGTTGAAACTTATTTTTTGCTGCTGACATCTGTTCTGTTGATGTCAGCAATTAAAGCCTTTAGGGATTCAATTGTAATCTCCAACCAAAGTATCCTGGTTTAGCACCTAACTTATTATTGATTACATCCATGATGATCACTTAGTGCATAATGAACTTGATTTCACCTAATACATCACCTTTATGCTTTTTATTGAGTTAGAAAATTGAGCAAAAGAAGTAGCATCCTTTACCTCATATAATAAGCCACCTTGTGCCTTTCACGAATTAGAATTAGCAGATACACGGACATGCAACACGCTGTCAAGACAATTTTCAATATGTACATGACACGATATGCTTGGAAAATGTTAAAAATATTTTTTAAATAAATTTATTATATGTCGAAGATATGAATGGTTTATTCAATGGTAATAATAAATAAATAAATAAATAACAACAACAACAACATAATACTAATTAAATTAGAAAGCCATATATTCCACAACAAGATTCATTTGAATGTTTTGTCCTCAGGTTTTGTGGATCTTGTAATTGAGTTTGATCTTAAGGTGACTCTTCTCAAAGGCCTTAGACAGGAATTGATGAGCAGGTATCTTCTACACATTGATATATACATACACACATGTACACAATCACACACGTCGATGAGGTTAAGGGTAAGCCTATTGAAAACCCATAATGGTCTTAAGAGGTTGAGAGTGAACCTACTGAAAACCCGGATATGTTATATTTGTTATATGGGTTGTTGGTAGAGGTTGCGGGTGAACCTACCGAAAACCCATGTATATTGTTTTATTTATTGTAGCATTATTGAAAACCTATATATGTTAAATGGAAATGCAACATCAAGAAAAAAGAAAATGAAACATAACCAATTAAATATCTAATACATCTTCATAATTCATAATAATATATGCATGGATATACGACGGGACTACCGGTTTCAAAACTATGTGAAAAAATACATTTTTTCAAACTAAGTCCAAAAATACACTTTTCCAATACTTAAGGTTTGAAAATAGGCTATCAGAGGCTAAAATCGTGAAAAAGCCATAAGAAGGCCTGGGAACACCCCTAACACCTCGGGAGGGACCAATGTAAGTTGTGAAAACTTACAGAACTAGTACGGGACTCCCGGTTTGAAAACTAAGTCGAAAAATGTATTTTTCCAACACTTAAGCTTGAAAATAGACCATCGAGGGGCGAAAATAGTGTAACAGCCATGAGAAGGCACTGAGAACACCTCAAACACCTCGAGAGGGACCAATGTAAGTTGTGGAAACTTACAAAACTAGCACGGGACTCCCGGTTTGAAAACTAAGTCAAAAAAAGTACTTTTCGAACACTTAAGCTTGAAAATAGGCCATCGGGAGGCCAAAATCGTGTAACAGTCATGAGAAGGCTTGGAGAACACCTCAAACACCTCGGGAGGGACCAATGTAAGTTGTGAAAACTTACGGAACTAGCATAGGACTCCCAGTTTGAAAACTAAGTCAAAAAATATACTTTTCGAACACTTAAGCTTGAAAATAGGCCATCGGAGGTCAAAATCACGTAACAGTCACGAGAAGCTTGGGAAACACCTCAAACACCTCAGGAGGGACCAATGTAAGTTATGGAAACTTACGGAATTAGCGCGGGACTCCCGGTTTGAAAACTAAGTCCAAAAAGGCACTTTTTCACACTTAAGCTTGAAAATAGGCCATTGGAGGCCAAAATTGTGTAATAGCCATGAGATGGCCCGGGAAACACCTCAAACACCTCAGGAGGGACCAATGTAAGTTGTGAAAACTTATGGAACTAGCACGGGACTCTCGGTTTGAAAACTAAGTCCAAAAATGCACTTTTTTGCACGTAAGCTTGAAAATAGGCCATCGGAGGCCAAAATCGTGTAACAGCCATGAGACGGCCCGGGGAACACCTCAAACACCTCGGGAGGGATCAATGTAAGTTGTGGAAACTTACGGAATTAGCACGGGACTCCCAGTGTGAAAACTAAGTCAAAAAATGCACATTTTCCAACTCTTAAGCTTGAAAATAGGCCATCGGAGGCTTAAATCATTAAACAACCACGAGAAGGCCCAGGGAACACCTCAATCACCTCAGAAGCAACCATTGTAACTTATGTAAACTTATGGAACTAGCACGGGACTCCCGATTTGAAAACTAAGTCAAAAATGAATTTTCCTAACACTTAAGCTTGTAAATAGGCCATTAGGGGGGCCAAAATCGTGTAACAGGCACGGGAAGGCCCGGGGAACACCTCAAACACCTCAGGAGGGTCCAATGTACGTTATAGAAACTTACGAAACTAGCACGGGAATCTCGATTTGAAAACTAAGTCGAAAAATGCATGTTAAATTGTAGATATGTTTTTTGTGGATATTAGGAGACATGTTTGGTAATCCGCATGCAGTTGATATTATATTTTTGTGGATAGTGCTGAAATTCAATTGTGATGTTTATGAAAATGAATAGATTTTTGTATTGATCTGTAATAGATATTTTATTAAACAGGTTATTGAAATGCGCAGGGAATTTTTAGTGAAAAGACAAATTTTAATTTGAAAATAGTACCCCCATTTTAAAAAAATTTAATTATTATTAGAGACGAAATAAAAAATGTCGCTATTAGTTTTAAAAAATATGATGAATAATTTTGTCACTAATGATATGGTTCCAAACAAACAATTTTGTCGCATTTGCTCAATATTTCGTCGCTAAATTGAAATATTTGGTAATAAAATGTTTTTTGTCATTGAAGAATTTTTTTTTCTGCTCATTTTAGTGACGAATTTTTTTGTCACCTTAATCTATATCATTGGTGAAGAAAACTTTCGTCACTAAAATCTATTTGGTGACGAAATATTTCGTCGCCAAAAACAATTAAAATAAAATATTATCTAATTTTAGTGACGAAATTGATGATATAGAGGACAAAAAATGCGGAGACGAAAAATTTCATCGCCAAAAATGAAAAATAGGCGACGAAACTGTTTTTCGTCACCAGGTACTTTCAGTGACAACGTATAGGCGACAAACGTGGTGACAAAATTTTTTCATCATATATCACTTTAGTGACGAAAATTTGATGTTTGGAGGCAAAATCAGTCTGTCACCAAAGGCCTTTTTTGTTGTAGTGCGCGCAATTTCATTCACATAAATGGTAGCAAGTTTATTTGCATTGTATTGAGTTTTCACAGTAGAAAATGGGCTGATTTAGTTAGCCTATCAGTGATAACCCAAATAGAATTCATACTTCGAGGAGTTTGCGGTAAACCCACAATGAAATCCATAGTCAAATGTTCCCACTTCCACTCTAGAATTGGAAAGGGTTAAAGTAAACCCACCGGTCTCTGGTGCTCCGCTTTTACTTGCTAACATTGCAAACATTTTGTAACAAATTCTGCAATTTCTTTCTTTATACTGGGCCACCAAAAATTCTGCTTTAAATCTTGTTACATCTTCGTGTTACTGGGATGCATCACAAACTTGGATTTATGGGCTTCCTCCATAATCCTTCTCTTGATTTCTGGTACTCTTGATTTCTAGTACATTTGGAACACATAATCTGTCTTGAAATTTCAGCACCGAATTGTCAACAATAAACCCGGGCCTTGGCTTTGTATTTATTTGTTCACAAATTTTCTTCAAAAAATCATCTTCTACTTGCCTTTGCTTAATGTCTTCAAGAAGTGCCGGTTTAGCTAAAATCACTACTAATACTACATCTCGACCGTGTAGTAAAACTTCCACATCCATTCTTTCTAATTCTAATAGTAACTCTTTTCGTCTTGTGAGTAGACTTGCCAAGTTCCCCATACCTTTTCTGCTAAGTGCATCTACCACGATATTAGCTTTGTCGAGGTGGTAGTGAATTTGTAGATCATAATCCTTAATAAGCTCTAACCACCGTATTTGTCGCATATTCAATTCATTTTGAGTGAAAAAGTACTTGAGGCTTTTATGGTTAGTATAGACCTCACACGTAGTACCAAACAAATAGTGTCACCATATCTTCAAAGCAAAGACTACTGCAGCTAGCTCCAAATCCTGTGTAGGGTAATTCTTTTTATGTGGCTTGAGTTGACGAGATGCATATGCGATAACCCTTCCATTCTGCATAAGTACACAGCCCAACCCTTTATACGATGCATCGCTATAGATTACAAATCCCTCGATACCCGATGGAAGGGCAAAAACTGGTGCTGTAGTTAATATTGTCTTCAATTCCTAAAAAGCAGCTTCCTGTTGTTCGTTCCACTCAAATGGAACATTCTTCTAAGTCAATTGGGTAAGTGGCACAGCAATTTTCAAAAATTCTTTAACAAATCTCCGATAGTACCCAACTAGACCCAAGAAACTACGCATTTTTGTCATATTCGTGGGAGTTGGCCAAGTCACAATAGCTTCAACCTTGTGTAGGTCAACTGAAACACCTTCCTTATTTATTACATGTCCCAAAAACATCATTTTATACAACCAGAAGTCGCATTTCTTTAATTTTGTGTATAGTTTCTTACCTCGAAGTGTTTAAAGAATCAAGCGTGGATGATTCTCATGAGCTTCCATATTTTTCAAATAAATGAGGATGTCATCAATAAATACAACTACAAATTCATCCAACTATGGCTTAAAAACGTGATTCATCAAGTCCATGAAGGTTGTTGGTGCATTGGTAACCCCAAACGGCATAACCAAAAATTCATAATGCCCATATCGGGTTCGAAAAATAATTTGCTCGATATCTTCGGCCTTGACCTTCAATTGATGATACCCGGATCGTAAGTCTATTTTTGAAAAGATTTGTGCCCCCTGTAGTTGATCAAATAAGTCGTCAATTCTAGGTAAATGATACTTATTCTTGACCGTTACTTTATTGAGCTCCCGATAATCTACACATAACCATAAGGTCCCATTTTTCTTCTTTACAAAAAGAACCGGTGCGCCCCAAGGAGACGTACTTGGCCGAATAAACCCTTTATCAAGTAGATCTTGCAACTGGACCTTCAACTCTTTCATCTCAGCTGGTGACATTCTATATGGATTTTTTGAAATAGGCTAAGTTCCCGACACTTCATCAATTGTAAATTTAATTTCACGATCCACTAACTCTCCTAGTAACTCCTCCGGAAAAACATCTGGAAATTCACGGACAAGTGGAATTGTATCAACGCTCATATATGTTGGTTGTTCATTCAAAATACTACACAAATATCCTCGACATCCCTTTTGTATCAATTTATACGCTTTCATTGTCGAAATCAAATAAAGTGGAAGGGTCACCCCATGTCCCGCAAAAGTAAATTCAGGTTGTTCCGGGGGTCGAAAAATAACACGCTTAGACAAATAGTCAATAGTGGCATGGTATTTACTTAGCCAATTCATCCCTAAAATTATATTGAAATAAGCCATGTCAAGAGGGAGTAAATCAGTATATAACTGAATATCCCCAATCAAAATCTCACATGCATGATAAATAGAAGAACATAACATAGAGCCCCCCGATGGTGAAGACACACACAACACATAATGCAACGGTTCCAAAGGTCTATTCAACTGACAAGCAGATGTTTTGGACACAAACGAGTGGGTAGAACCCGAATCAAATAAGACATGAGCAAAGTGACTATTAATAAAGAATATACCTGACACCATGGCCTCCGCATTCTGCACATCACCAGGAATAAGGGCAAACACTCTCCCCTGTCTAGTAGTGTCTTTGTTATTAGGGGATTTTGGAGCTATCTTTGCAGTTGGAGCTGGAGTTGAGCCAGCTGAACTGGTAGTAGTTCGATTCCCATTTTGTCGGTCTTTTTGGGGGCAGTCTCTCACCAAATGACTCGTCTTC